TCTCCCAAAGGAACCAAGTTTTTCAGCACAGAAAAGCAACCTTGATTTCAGAGTGGGGTACAGAGTATCAAATAGGGGCTTTAGGATGCAAAATTCCACAACTCTCTTGATTTTGTATTTTGGGGGGAAATGGGATCCTGAATCCGTTTCTTAGCATAGGCCTGACATTAACCCTTTGCACACTGCCCTGGGCCCTGTCTTGCCTTAATGCCTATCAAATACAGCTTCATTTATGTTATCCCCAATCTCTGCTCTTCCCCTTAATTCTATAGGAACTTATTTGTTTCTTTCTTTGGTGAGGTACCCCCTTTCTGGATAGTCTCTTTGCTATGCAGGTTCCCAACTTTTGTTTTGTTTTGTTTTGCTACAGGATGTGCATACTTGCCAGAGAGAAAGAGAGAGCTGGACAGGAGAACTACAACGGGGATGGCCATAACACAATCCCTTCTCCTTCACTCTCTTGGGATTTGGGGCATGGACTCACACAGCCGACAATGCTTTTCAAGTTGCCAGGTCCGGGACTTGAACTGTGTAGTTGGCCATATGGGATCCAGTCACCTTAACCTCTATTTCTCCACCCTGTTAGGATTGTGGGCATGCATGCACATGTGCCCAGTGTGTTTTTCAAGCCACCAGTGCTTGAAATTCTTCTCTTGGGATTTTGGGCACACATGCACACACACCCAACTGCCGGGTCTGGGACTTGAATCACAGTCAACTACAATGGAGTCCAGTGACATACCCATTATGCCATTTGCTGGTCCCCAGAATCTCATTTTTCAATTCAAGAATTGTTAAGATGAACTATTTATGAGAGTGAGAGATACTCATATGCTTTGCTCCAGTCTCTGTAGAGGCTACTCGGCAGTACACATTTTAAAATGGTGTAGTCTACCTTCCAGTTTCATTCCAGATGTCTATCCTAGGGAAATACTCACATGTACAGACTGAGAGACCTATATGCTGGAGATAAAACTATAAGTGAGTTAGAAATAGACACCAACCCTCGAAGAACTTCTAGTCTAGTGAGGGGAGAGATAGCTGTTAAAGAAACAGCCACCCAGATATTCAACTGACTAAAGAGTGATGAAAGTTATAAAGGAAAGACGTGGGGGCCAGGGGGTGGTGTAGTGGTTAAGGTGTTGGACTCCCACATGGCCAACTATGATTTAAGTCCTGGACCTGGCTTAAACTCATGCCGGGTGCGTGTGCGTGTGTGCCCAATATCCCGAGAGGAGAATGGAGGAGAAGGGATTGCGGCATGGAAATACCCGCTTTCTGTCTCTATGTCTCTCTCTGTCTGTCTGGCGAGCGCACGTGCCCTATAGTGAAAAAAAAAAAAAAACCCTCTAAAAAAAAAAAAAAAAAAAAGAAAGAAAGAAAAAAAAGAGGATATTTAATAGAGGGAAATAACTATACATTGTTGGAAAGTGGGAAGAACAAAAAGAAGACCCTGAAGAAATGAATATCAGTAACCATTAGGACTGAGAACACTAAAGGAAGAATATGTTCTTTTTTTTTTTTTGCTTTAGAGCACATGTGCTCGCTGGAGAGACAGAGAGACAGAAAGTGAGAAATCATCCCCATGGGGGATGGCCACACCACAATCCCTTCTCCCCCATTCTCCTCACCCTCATGGGGGATGGCAATGCCACAATCTCTTCTTCCCCATTCTCCTCTCAGGATTTTGTGCACACGTGCACACGCCCCCAGCATGAGTTTTAAGCCTCTGCGTGTGAGACTAGAACCGCTATTGAATACAAGGGAGACCAGTGACGTAACCATTAATGTCATCTGCTGGTCCTGGAAGAATATGAGTCTTTAAAACCTGAGTTCGGGCCAGCCACACACTGGGTTGGTTGCTCCCACGCGTACCCAGTACCCTGCCTTCCTTACGCAGCCACACCACCCTGGTTTTAAACGCTGTTCAGCTGTCTCTCCAGCACTGCGCCATTACCTCGTGGCCCCAGCTCCCAGTGCAGGCTCTGGCACATAGGCAGCAGCAGTAAGTGTGAACTCTTCTCTCCCGTGAAGGTGGCTGTGTTCATTACAAAAGCGAGATCACTCTGGAGACTATTTCACAAAAGGCCCAGCAGTGCCCTCTCCTTCCTGATTCTCCTCTCGTCCCATCCTCTCTTCTTCACACACTAGGGCCTCTGCACTTGCCCTGACTGAGCAGGGAGAAGGGGGATGGAGCCGGTGTGTGGCAAGCTCTGGATGTTGTAACTGGTACCTACAACCTAGCAACTGCTGCTGAAGGAGGGCGCCTCCTCTATGAGGCTGGGATGACAGCTCCCTCCTGCCCTACAGCAGGTCCTCCCACCCTTGCGATGCCCTCATCAGTCCTCGGTCTCCACACCCTCCCTTGTGGAGGTCCAGGTTACCTGGAGTGAGCTGGGACAAGAGCAGGAACACAGTCAAGGTCAGCAGAAGGAGCTTCATGGCTGGAGATGGCCAAGGTGAAGCGGGAGTCCGATGCCAACGCAAAGCTAATGCGGGGATGGAAGACCAGCCTCTCTGCCTTGCGCTCCCTCTGATCAGCCGGACCACATGTCACCCACACGTGCTTTCAGATGCCCACGGGAACAGCCTCTACGCCTCCAAGCCTTCAGTGTGGGGCCAGGAGCTGACACTCCTCCTTTCGTCATTTAGGTCAGCAGGGAGGGCTCAGCCCACCAGGTCCAAGGTCCCAGACTTGGTACTCATCCTTCCACCCTGCTCTGAATCTCCTGAACCAATGGACCACCAGGGGGCACCATGAGCACAGACCCCAGTGGGTCGGGAAGATTTCCGGAAAAGGTGATACTGAGTAGTGTTTTGAAGATTAAACACCAAAACAAGAGGTAGATGAGCGGAAATGGTGTTCCAAGCAAAGGATTGTCTGTAGAAAGGCTTATGTTGGTGATGAAAATGGTGATGAAAATGGGAAAGATGATGTAACTGGAACAAAAACAGGGAGAAAAATGGCAGTAAGTGCTGAAGCCTAGAATGCGGGAAACACCAGTTAGCTCTCTGCAGAATACTAACCATGCAGTGGATGAGACCACTACACTTAACATTCTGGGCTCCTTCTTCAGGGGTTCGAGGGCCAACTATTCAGAGTCCTTCCTCTGAACTTGTTTTTTTTTTTTTTTTTTTTTTTTTTTTTCATTATTTTTGTTGCCTTTTAATTCAAATTTGTTTCAAATTGGGAAAATGAGATATGTCAGCATTCGGGATTTTAAAGGGAAAGTTCTAATTGATATGAGAGAATATTGGATGGCCCTAGAAGGTGAAATGAAACCAGAAAGAAAGGTATTTATTTAAATCCGAAGCAATGGAAACAGCTGAAGGAACAGATTTCTGACACTGACGATGCGTAAGAAAACTGTAACATCCAAGCCACATAAAACCCGCACTGTTGTAGTTTTAATCTGTCTTTTTAATCTTGGTTTTTCTTTTCTAAACGTTGTTTTCCAAGCTAGCATATATTTGGTGTGCAGAACAATTTGTAAGGTGAATATTTTTTAAAAATGTGCATTATGGGACCAGCAGTTAGTGTAATGGCTATGTCTCTGGACTCCCATGTAGTTGACTGTGGTTTGAGTCCCGGGCCTGGTGGCTTAAACTCATGCCGGGCGCATGTGCGTGTGTGCCCAAGATCCCGAGAGAATGGAGGAGAAGGGATTGCAGTGTGCCATCCCCCCTGGGGGGTGATTTCTCACTTTCTGTCTCTATGTCTCTCTCTTTCTTGTGAGCACATGGGCCCTATAGCAAATACCTCTCCAAAAAAAAAAACAAACCCAAAAATCAAAAATATGCATTATTAAAAATGTTCTGAGAAAAAAAGAGATAAGAAACATTCATTTACTTCTATAAGAGAGGAAAAAGAGAGACAGAGAGACAGAGAGGCACCCCCACAGAGTAGTCACACTACCTCCATTCCTGTCCTCAGCCAGTCAGGATCATGGACACCATGAGGAATGCACAGGAAGACCTCAGGAGACGAATCCATATGGCCTCAACATCACAGAGCATTGCTGCTGTGTCACCGTGGCTGGCCTGAACTCAGGTTTGAAAAACTCATTTTTTTTTCCCTCAGTTTTCTCAGCCCTAGGGTGGTAGCTATACCCTGTAGATACAAGTATTTATTTCCTCAGAGTCTTCTTATTGTTCTTGCAACCTTCCAATAACGTGTAACCATTTTCCTCTATAAATATCCTCTATTTCAAATACTCATATGGTTCCTACTTCCTGGCTAAATATGTGTATACAAGCATACACAGAATTCATAAGAGAGCATAATAGTGAACATCATTTCTACAAGGGTAGAAAACATATTAAATGAGGTAGTGAACATCATTTCTACAAGGGTAGAAAACAAATGAGAATGATGACTGAAAAGTGAGAGTGAGCTCAGTAAGTATAAATAATGATTTCCAAACCTTTACAGCGAGGAGAAGAGGCAGTGGCTAGGGACTCCGTATCAAAGCCTAGAAATCCACCATAGTTATGTTCTTCATTTCTCTTAAGGAGCCCCCCCACCGCATTGCCATAGGGTGTGTGTGCTGGCCAAAGAGCATCAGAAAGAGAGAGAAAGCATCTCCCCCAACCCCCAAACAGGACATAGTCGCATTGCAGTCCTTTCTCCTCTGTTTCTCCACCCTGTCGGGATTTTGGGCGTGTGCGCACACACCAGTCATGTTTTTCATGCCACCAGGGCCAGGATTGGAATTGTGGTAGGCCATGTGGGATCTGGCTGCTGATGCACAGTGCTTAACCACTAGGCCAGGGGGCTGGTTCAAGGAGGCGCACTTTGAAAAATAGGTATTAGTTAAGGCTTAATCAGAGAAGCAGAACCACTACCAGTATTATGGAATATGGAATTTATTATAATAATTTGACACTATTCTATTGTGGGAGGAGCTAGGAGAGCAAAACTCTGAAAAGGACCAGAAAAAAGTCACCAGCCTTGGCATGGGTGAATGGACCACCAGCCTTGACATGGATGAATGGACCACGGAAGCTAGCATGGACAGAGCTGTAGCGGGAGGTGAAGGAGCTGGTGGAGAAGTCTGTGGAAGGCCATCGGCTCTTCAAGGCTAGTGGCTGCTCATTGATTTCAGGGAGAAGCATTAGTGATGAACCTGGGTCACCACTTTGGTCGGCCGGTCTGGCAGTTGGGAAGGAGATCTCCTGTGAAACAGGGAACAATGAGGACAAACCCAAACCTGCAGACAGTCTAGCATATGTCCTCACCACTTCTAATCAATGACAACCTTCAAAGTGCAATGGCTATTGCTTCATTTCCGCCTCCCAGTCTCTTGATGTTAAAACAAACGAACAAGCAGGCTTATGGAAAATCCTAACTCAATTCCATGTAGGGAAGGAAGTGGTGAAATATAATGTTGGGTCATCAGAAAAGTCATGACACGTTTTTACATAGAAAAACACAGAAAACTATGTCATGACTTTTCTGATGACCCAGTATTATCCTAGCTAGGGTTGTCTCATCACACTGTGCTTCAAAACATCACGAAATGCAATTTTCTTTCCTTCTTTTTAAAAATTTTCCAGAGGGAAAAATTTGCATGCTACAATACCTTTTCCTCCATTTCTCCCTCCCGTTAGGATTTTGGGCATCCACACGCATGCACACAGTATGTTTCTCAAGCTGCTAGGTCTGGGGTTTGAACCATGTGGGCCATGTGGGATCCAGCTCCCTTAGGCCATGGGGCAGGCCCACAAAATGCAGTTTTCTAATCTCGAGTCTTGGGTATGGGGTAGGTAGGGTATACATTGTTTCTTAGAATATATCTGTTGGATTCAAAGACTCCCACTGCCTAAAATGCCTGATATATGGAAGATTTTTATATTGAGGATGGGAGAGGTAGAGTTGAAAATATTTAGCAACTAATCTTGATTCTGCTACTAACTTTTTTTCTTAAAATAATTATTTATTTAATGTTATTTATTATCATTTTAATTTTTGCTAAAGGCTACATGCATTCATGAGAGAGAGAGAGAAAGGTGCCAGGTCTGGAATCCGAACCACGGTTGGCCATGTGGGAGTCCAGTGCCTTTAACTACCACACGACCTACCACTAAATTTCTGTGTGACCTCAATCTCATTGATGAAGGATTTGGAGCAGATAAACATGATGAATCAGCCCACCCATTGTATTTTATGGATCTCTAGACACAGAAAGTAAAAGAATTCAGCAATTCAGGTTTTCAATACCAAAGCAGGGCAGGGTAATTGGGTTTTCACCTAAGGATTCCCTGGGCCATCCTCCTCAGTCCCCAGATCGCAGGTTATAGATTGTCCCTTCTGATCCCAACCCCCAACTGCACTGTGCAGCTCTTGTAAAACCGTAGTCCATCCAGGGCCGGTTCCTTTCCTAGTCAATGTGCTAATGTTGCTCAGGTTTTGAAGCCTCTGTTATCCTCCTGAGAATCCTGGCATAGGTATGACCAAAATGGGCTGCTTTCGTTTTGGGGCATGGGGAGACTGGCAAGGAGGCAGAAGAAGACTCTGCCATATGTGCAGCCCAGACATCAGAGCCTGTCCATGGAGAGTCAGAAGGGCCAATTTCCCTCCCTCACCAGGAATCAAAGAAAAATAAGTTCAGATGACAGTGAGGTATCATTTCTCCAATCCACTTGGCAAGAATATTATTGGTAATCCCAGAGTTTTCTAGGTTTCGGAAGAGAGCAGTACCTGGATAACAGAAATGCAAATAGGCACAATCTTTTGGGGGAATGTTTGCCAGTAGCAAAATCCTTGAACTATGCATGCCCTGCAAGCCAGCAACTTCACTTACAAGATCTGTAGTGTCCACCTGCATCCTAGGCAGTGATTTCCCTTTCTTCTAGTGATGGCCTTTTGATTTTCCTTTCAGGAGCCAGATCTCCTTTACTCGCATCTCAAGATATTCAGGTAGGACTTCCCATTTGCTTTGTATTCGGGTAGGACTTTGTATTCTCACTGAGCTTCCGGAATCTTTTTTTTTTTTTTTAAGAGTTTTTTTTTGTTGTTGTTGTTAATAATAATAATTAAAAAAAATATATATATATTTACTTAGAAGCATTCAGAATGTCAACAAAACAGCTGCAACTTTTTTTTTTTTTTTGCAATTACAGAGTGGTATTCAGTTAACAGAACAATTATTTCATTTAAGCTATATCTGAGACAACTGAAGATGAAAAACTACCATCCCGGGACCAGCAGTTAGCGTAATGGCTATGTCACTGGACTCCCATGTAGTTGACTGTGGTTTGAGTCCCGGACCCAGTGGCTTAAACTCACGCCAGGCGCGTGTGCATGCGTGCCCAAGATCCCAAGAGGAGAATGGAGGAGAAGGGATTGCGGAGTGGCC